GTGTAATAAAAACTTTCTCGGCTGAATTCCAGACGCGCAAAGAGTTAAGATATGAAATCTGACAAAGATCATAAGTCGTATGACGCCAATTACACATACTTCTATAAATCACTTCATTCGCTTCCAAATCCAACTGATTCAATCTTATTTTATGAATAGTGACCTGTGTTTAGCACCGCATCCAACAGTAAACTTGAAAGCCCATGTTCCATCATATACACTGGGGTCAAGCCTAAGAGCACCCCTGCTTTCTCCATCACACACGTTCGACTTCCCCCACATGCTTTCGCCTTCGCAGGGGCGCCTCTGGGAAGGCTTTCAGAGGCCTGCTTTAGTGCCATGTTTTAGCCCGTTTTACGTTTGTGTAGTGTTTTTAGCATAGAGGCATATTTTTCCTTATTTTTTAAATAGTCTTGAATTACTTGTTGATTTAAATGTTTAATGATTTTTAATGACCTGTGGAGCGACATTTTAATAGGTATTTTTAATGGTGATTTTGTGGCCTTGTGTGGTGTGACTGTGGAGGCGCTTTGTGTTGCCCTGTGAAGGAAAGCCTTCTATCCAGAAAGAAACAAATTGGAGATCAGGCAGGACCAAACCTGCCTGGGAGCCATTTGCGCCCTCGGCTTAGCAGGGCAGAGGGCCACATAATATGACACAAAGGTGTTGAGTTCACTGGTCATCCCTTTCCAACATTCAGCTTTGTTTATAGATCATGTTAAAGCTCAGAAGAGCCTGATGCCGTCAGTCAGTTTTTTTCAGTCCTGATGTCGCCCCTTAGACTAGTCTGGTGAATTAAAGTGGCTCTCTACTAAATGTATGAACACCCTGTTATAGATGCTTCCACAATCAACTTTTGTTGTTATATAATGCAACACAGAGCAGAATCAGAATAAATTAGGAATGATCACACAACAATTGGTGGATGTTGTTGCCGGTACAGAGGACAATGCCTCATAGCTCAAACAGAGAAGACGTACAAAACAAACAAACATTAACATCGACATGACATAATCTTCAGGATTGGATGTGGGACCGAATGGCATGGATTAAGCGTTTTTTTTAATCTCTCGTTGGCTTTGGGAGGAATTGGAGAAAGTGCGTGCTGAGACCCCCCCTTGCGCACGCCAGACATGTCCAAACTCTGGCCTGCGGGTAAATTGCGGCCTCTCTGTGGCAGTTAAGTGCCCTCTTCCTTGCTCACACACTGTCTCACAGGTCGAGCCAACTTAGCTTCTCCAATATAGCATGGTTTTGTATTCGTTTAAAAGCTCAGACAGTAAACTTTTGTCATTTTTCCATCTTTTACCTTGCCAGCCCAGGGAACCTTTTTGGTGAACTAAAAGTGCACTCCTACTGAAAGGTTTGGACACCCCTGGCTTAGACTGCCAGGTGGCCACAGATAACCAAAACAAAATGATGGATGCGTAATCAAAAGTCATGTCAGAGCAAGAACAAACCCTGAGTTTGGAAAAGTGACTGGAGCTTACAGAGTAATAAAGAGAACATGCACAACGGATGTCTGTAAGGTAGATGGAGCTCCTAAGCTGTAAACATTATTTATTTCCTATACTCTCCGGCATGACATTAAATAAATAGGGTGTGCCTGATATATCGATTTTTCTATACTATCCGCGATACTTTCTCCCGCGTTTCGAAGTATCCGTTATGCATTTTGCCAAGTGTCCGATATGGATTAAAAAAACTAAAAAATGTTTTTTTTTTTTTTTACAAATTAATATATTTAGATTGTCCATCAATACTTAATATTGGCTACATTACGCATCTCCATTTCCATTTATCATGAAATAAAGTGTATTTTTCTTTTATTTATGCATAATTTGCATATTGTAGATTTCTGACCAATATAGAGATCGATAATCTCATATCGTGAGAAAATCGTTATCGTGATATTGTTATTGTGATATTATCGATATTGTGAGCTTTTGTATCGTGTATCGTATCGTGAGGTACCCTAGTTCCCACCCCTTAGAAATAAACAACTTTTATGATAACAACACATCACATATCTGCAGCCGCTTCTAAACAAATTCTCGTACAATTCCAAAGAGGAGGAAATATAGTGATAATTTCAATGTATTTAATTCAGACCCCCATATCCTTGCATAGATATCATAAAACGAGACAGAAATCATCCGGGAAACATTCACAAACTGTAACTTGAACAAGACTCACGGGACTTGAGAAGCGGCCCTGGGGAAAGTGGCCGCGCTCACAGACTGTGCGAAGTTTCATTGTTGTGGTACCGACAGAGCAGATCATGTGAACGAATAAAACGTAAACGTATTTGCCCGACCGATGTGAAGCTTTTACAGACGTCAATGGCCGTTCTTTGTCGACCCGAACACCAAAGAATTAGGTCAACATTTCGGTCATCCTAATCAGCGTGAGTATGTAATGTGGTTTGGTCACAATCATTCAGGTAGGCAAACGAGGCCGTGTGGACAGAACAAAAGTGAAGCTGTTGGTAGGATGTGATTGGGCGCAGTGGAAAACAGGATGTTACTCACCGTGAAGTGGAATGACAAATACAAAGAAGTAAGAGACTAGAGCTCGCCGTTCCTTCCAGGTAACACTGCAATATTAAGAAAAATTATTTAAAAATTGCTCAAATTTGGTCAAGATTGTATCTTAATTTTTAGCACAAGCCTGACTGGACCCTTAAATACAAGAATTGCCAACAGGACTAAGTGAATTATCTTGATTATAAAAGATACAAGTAATGTCTCCCTTAGAAGTTAGAACAAAATTAATGACTGTTCAGGCTTTGCCAAATTGGCAAATCCTGTCAGAATGAACCGCAAATTGAAGGATAAGAAACACTTGGTTTTAAGCATTTTTTTACCTCATATTTTATCATTTTTGCAGTGTAGCTCGCCAAAGGATGTTAGAAATTGAACGCAGTCAATAATATACTTATATTTTGGATTGTATTATTATTTATTAATGAAATGGCACTTACTTTGTGCACTAGTAACAAATATGGTTAAGATAATAATGTCTGTACCTAATATCAGGCTCGTTCACACCAAAAATCACCACAATTTTTCCCAGAGTCGTCTTAAAGCGTAGCTCTCTGCCTTGTATCGTCCCGGGGAAAGTAGCACCTCTGGTGTAAAAAGGATGAGACCCCGAGGTATAGTAGACCATACATTCATTCTTTTTGGCACAGCGTCCGAAAGGCCTAATGAGAACATGAGGCAATAGTTTAGATTTATTTCAAACCTGCTGAACACAATTTTGCACATACTGTATCTTGACACCAAAGACAGGGTTGTTGGATGAAGCAGAATACAATGCAAATAATCAACATACAATATCAATACAGTTCTTAATATACAAATACCCAACCATGGGATTATTAGACACACACAACACCAAACACACACATACGAAACTGGTCCAAACTGTCTCTGACCCAACCCTCGCTCCATCGGCTGCTCAGTGCGGAGGCCTCACGTCAGTTCATCCTCCATGTGCATCAACATTTCGTTTTAAAGTTTTTAAAAATGGTTAGTAAATAGGGCAATAGTCCATTTCTAGCACCCCTCTGCTGTTGTTGTTTAGGGGTATGAATGAGCCATTTAAATATCTTATCTCAAGCCGTGTGAAGTAGTTTTTGCATCTGTCTCTTGCACAATCCAACCCTTTCATGTACTGTATGTGTCACCCAGACCAGAATCACGTCTCCAGATTTGACCACTCCCGGTGAGACATGGCATGACCCAGTATTTATTACAATTCTCCTGTCCCTCTGATGAGGCTTGTCTTGTTTTTGCCCCCTGCTGGAACGTTTGCTGCAGAGAAAGTTGTTGAGAGCTAATGACAGGGGCAGAGTCAGGGAAAGGCTGCAATTACTGTTGAGGTAAACCATTTATCTGCGAGTGGATACAACAAGCCTTTTGGCTCGGTATAATGAATGGTCCCGGTTCTTTACCCTCAAATTAAAGCTGAAAACAAATTGAGGTAAAGGCAGATTGATTTTCTGGACCCGACTGCATCCTGTTTTCAAATGTAATCGATTTCTATGCTATAATTTTTTGTTCGGTTCATCCAGGATTTAATCGTGAAGTGTGACTTGGGCCAGAGCTTGGTAGAAAATATAGAAGTACAAGAAGTATTTTTTTACCGGTGGCAATGTATTTTGAATAAAATTGACAAATTTGAAAGGGTGTACAATCAAATATCTCATTCGCAATTTCTGAGGACTTTTTGCATGAATCATGAGTAGTGTGATTATTTGAGATTTTACTTTGAGCACTTTGAGTTTCCGTGTGTTTAAAACCATGCTCTACAAAAACTGGCCTTTCCAACTTTAGATAAAAAAAAAAATTCTAGTGGAAATGAGAAAATAAAATAAAATCGCTGTAAAAATATAAAAACAATAAATCGTACCTCATTGTCAACTCAGGGAAATCCCAGATGCCACAAATAAAAAGGACCAAGAACCGAACGGGACAAGATAAGATAGACCTTTATCGATGTACACAATGGAGAAATGTGCATTTCACATTTGGCAAAGGATAGAATCACTCAGATTAGTGCAAAAGACAGAAGTGTGCGACATGTTAAAAGGTTAAAAATATATCAATTAATTACAATAAACAAGTGTCAATTAAAGAAAGAGATGGCAATACATCAGTGCATTTGTGACTTAGTTACTTATTTGTACAGTCTGACAGCGGTGGGATGATGTAGGCCCTTCGCTACTTGGAAACGTTGTTCTTTTATCGTTTGTGGATTGCACGATTTGATGGCAAAAAATCGCACCAGTACAGCCCTTTCATATTAAAGTCGTACAAATATGTATTGTCTCAATTGACTTAGATGAAACAGCTAACAGATTCCTAATTCTGTGGAAGATAATTTTGATCCACGGGTGTTTGTAACTATTTGCCAGAGTTTCTTCCACCTCTGTGTTGGTTGTTTTTCGTGTTTTGGGAGCTCTCCACTGCTGCTACGGTCCCCACGATCCACTCATGTCTCATACGATCCAAGAGCGAGAGAGTGAAAAGCAAGAGAATCAGGACACTCCCTCCATCTTCTCCACACATCCCTTAATTGATGCCATAAATACAGCTGAGGACGAGCTGTGCCTCTTCCACATACAGGCAGCGTGGGAAAAGCTCACCGCTACATTTTTGGATACCGAACGCTGCTTCTGTACTTCACACCCACACGTTCACTTTGTGTTCAAGGTGCAGTGTCCTGGTTTTCAAGACCAACTTTTTACATCACCAACGTATAAAGGGTAAACAAAATGTATTTGAATCTTGTACAAATACACATTTCACATAATAGTCTTGACACCACAACAGAAAACCATAAGGCTTTAGTAAGTGCAGAACTAACTTAACATCACATAATTGTCTCACAAAGATCCCACATAACAGCGATAAGATAATATAGACTTTGTTATCTCACTCTGAGAATTTACACGTCACATTTGGCACAAACAGAGGTCACTCAGATTGTTCAAAATTGTGCCAGCGTTTATAACCTGGACAATAGGCGGGAAACTGGTTATGTTGGGTTTGTTGCGTTGATTGGTGCGTGTGATTGGTGCGTTGGTGCGTTGGATGGTGCTAAATTGGTGGTGGGTTGGTTGGTGCGTTGGTGGGGCGTTGGTGTGGTGCGCTTGGTTGGTGCGTTGGTCGGTGCGTTGGTTTGGTGCGTTGGTTGGTGCGTTGTTGATGTGTTGGTGTGTGTTGGTGCTTGGTTGTTGTGTTGGTTAGGTGTGTTTGGAGTGCGTTGGTTGGTGCATGGTGCGTTGGGTGGTGTTGTTGGTTCGTGGTTGGTTGGTGTGTTTGGTGTGTTGGTTTGGTGCGTTGGTGGTGCGTTGTTGGTGCGTTGGAGATATGTTGGTGGTGTTTGGGTTGGTGTGTGTTGGGTGTGTTGGTTTGTGCTTGGTGGTGTGTTGTGCGTTGGTTGGTGTGTTGTTTGTGTGTGTGTTGGTTACAGCGAAGTGCACCCAGACCCAAGGGAATCATTCCACAAATGGACTATGGCAAGTGTAATCATTTACACGTGAAAAAAATGGTCATGAGACATTATATTGATCCAAGGACAATTAAAAACTCTCACGATGTGTTACGCTGGCCTTTATGCAAAGTAGTTGTCCCTTGTAGAGAATCTCAAATAAATCCCTATTTCAATCCCCTTCATTCTTTAACATTTTCTCCAAAGTTGAATGTTGAATTCTCCTTTTCACTTAGAGCTTGTGATAAAGTTTCCTTTCAAATGGAGTTAAATCTTTCAGTCCTCATTATGTTATTTTCTCTCGCCACGGTTCAGATGAGACACTGTGAATCGTCCACATGTAACCAGAGAGGTGCTGGGACTTGGCATGTTTGACCTTCCCATGTTTTCCATTATCATTAATTCACAAGTAACAGGTGCCTTTGTTTGTGGAGTTAAAAGGTGATGTCACAAAGGTACGTTGATGTTAGTAGCCCATGTGTTTTTTGTTCGCAAGAGTTATGCCCAATTTTGTTCAAGTTATATGAGTAAGTACGAGTTTTTTAGGAGAGATCGACTACTTTTTCTTTCGGAAGTGCCGGGAGTGCAATGCAATGTGGCTAACTATTGCAAGCTGTTACCTTCACATTCGACATTAATCACGTTTTTTGACTTTCTGAGGGGGGGGGGGGGGGGGGGGGGGGGGGGGGGGGGGGGGGGTTCATTTGTTTTCCAGATTCTCAGCTTTAAAAGGAGATATAACATATATACATTTAACTGGGGTATACTGTTACGGTAGCATGCCATTTATCATGTAGCACTAGCATGAATGTTGTTCAAATCAAGGGATATATATGACAAATTATTAGAATATGAACTGAAGAGTGCAAAATTAAAATATAAGAATGTGTGGAAGGGTAAAATGTTTAGAAATGAGTATAGGAAGTATAATAATTAGATAGTAATAATAAGATAATAATAATAATAATAATGCATTGGTTTCATATCGCGCTTTTTTGGACGCTCAAAAACGCTTTACAAAAACGCATCGTATTGATAAACTACTACTGTAGCCACAGCTGCCCTGGGGCTCACTGACAGAAGCGAGGCCTCCAGTCTGTGCCATCGGCCCCTCCCACCACCACCAACCATTCACACACACACCAGACTCATTCTAAGCAATGGGGGTGAAGTGTCTTGCCTGAGGACACACCAGCAGTTTGGCATTTTACAATACAGTTTCCTGGGAGTTCCCATATATGCCCACGTGCATCGGCGCCGATGCATGCGCACATGTTTTACAAATGATCGATTTACTCAGGAATGGTAAAACGTAGCAACTTACTTTTTTTTCCTCTGTGAAGTACGTATTCAGGGCTTTCCGAAACTAGTTTTGATTTGTCTGTGCGATGCACAGAGGATAAACTAGACTTGTCTGAAAGTCCGTGTCCAAAGCGTGACCCGTGAGGTACAAACAGCTGTGAGATACAAACACACGGGGACTGCCAAAGATCGTCAGAGAGTGAGATGTCTCACTCCTCTGCGTTTACTTGTTCTCCCACAGTTGAAACTACAGCTGCGATTGCAATAACCGGCTGAAGAGTGCGCATTATTGATAAAGACGATAATAAATACAGTAAAATGACCTTATGTGTATATGATGTATATATAAATAATGGATGTTTTTTTTTTTTTTGGCTCAGTTTCTTATGTTTTTACAGCTGTACTACAGAAGCAACCCCAGCATTATAGACAAACTGCTTCAGGAAGGGCATCAGGAATTTTGCTTTTATAGTGGAATTTTGTAAAAAGTATAATAGTTAGAGATTCAATTTTTTTCCCCATTATCCCCAAGTCTCTAAATAACATTTCTATGCAGTGTAAAAAGTTGTTTATAGCATTTCATTGTGTTTTTTCAATACATTTTTGTTAAATTGATTTTCCATTTGATTTTTGTCTTTGTCTTCATGATTCCATAATTTCTATATAATTCATATGACAGCTTTACAATATGAATATTCTGAAACCCCAGGTTGTACTGAAAAAAACAAAGTCTACTGCTTGACTCTGCATCAAAAGATGACTGTTTTATGAACAATTATACACAAAGAAAACCAGGCGAGGAAAGTTCCCCAAAATGACCCATGTGCATAGAGGGTTAACAAAACACTTAAAATCTTTCAAAACTAGTATGATTATGACTTTTGTAAATAGATATCATTTAATTTAATTGATTCGAATTGAACATACACAATTAATATTCCCATTCTACATGTTGTAATACCACATTTATTCTCATTTGCTTCAGGATTATCCCGGCACCTCCCGCTGCGAGCACAAGAACCGCCATATTGAATGTGATTGGCCACGGCAGTCCAAATCATGCGTGTTCTTGCATCAGCACTTTTCTGCCTATTTTCCTCGCAACACTGTACAGATGTTATTTAGAATTCCTCCGGTGATACGCGGCGAGCTTGCAGTCAGATGCTGAGGGATTGTGGGCAAGAGGAAATGCATTCTGGGAGCAGGTGGAGCCGATATCAGTGTCTGAAATGAGAGTCTCTCCATCACAATGTGCATGGTGTCAGGGCACCATTATCCTCACGGGTACACACTGTGCGGCCACTAACAAAATAGGATTAACCCTCTACCGGAGCTGAGCCAGGGCGGTTTTTTAAGCAGACTAAGATTCTAAATGTTGACAGATGACAGATAATTGAGTGAAAGTAGAAGCTGGTCAGGCAAATGGAAAGAAAAGAGAGAAATAGACACAATTTAGGACAAGAAGGAACATATATGTGTACTATTTTGAATTAAATTATATAAAAGGATTCAAACTGGCAACTGTCACAATAATCATAGATAGATAGATAGTTTTTTTTATTATAGGCCTCTAGAGAATGGTTGAGATGCAGCTTGATGGTAAAAGCTTGAGGTCGATAGTGTGACTCAAAAAGAGATCCACCAAATGGTCGAGGAAACTAAAAGCCTTCAAACCACACAAAAATTTAATTAAAAAAGAAGAAGTCCAAGGCACTCTGGTGACTTGTATACAGATTTACCGACATCCTTAAACACACATTGTTATTAAAATACATCTATCTACGGTTCATTGCACTCAAAGCAGTTTGGTTCCATCACTATAGTTTTCTTACTCACGGGGCTCTTTCTTACAAGTGTGTTAGCATGTTTTTACCATAGACTGTATATTTTAACGGACGTAGTCACACCTATCTCCGCCGTTCTAACTAATGGGCCAAAAATTGGGCTCTCATGGAGTGATTCAAAATGGCCGCGGGGGCTGGAAAATGTGAAAAAACACATCTGCGCATGCGTCAGCCGGACCGAGCCCCATTCATTTGAAAGAGAGACTTCGAAAATTCACAGCAACTAAACTAGACTGGTCCAGAACCCCCCCTCAGCATTGACACACATGTGGAACGGAGCTTTGGGCCAAGAGCCAACTTTTGGTCCATCTTGTAAAGACGTTTTCGAGAAGAAGATGCTATATATTAGCATTGGCTAATTCTTATTCCGGGTCCACCCCCATCGGCCCGGGGTGGTATTGCAGCATGTCAGCGCACCTCATTTTGGCCACTTTTGAGCCGGGACCTGCCCCCACTGGTTTTTACATTTGATGAAGAGAGCGTGTTGTGGTCCGATATGTTCATCGCGTTTAACTTCTACACGAGTCTTTCTGTTGGAACAAAATGTATTATTTATGGCTTCCCCAGCTTCAATACAACAACTCATCAAGCAGGCTACACAAGGTTAGCCTGCACTGTAAGGATAAGGATTTTAAAAAGTATTTATAAAAATCAAATGAACATAGGAACTTACAGTAAACTCTATCATCAACAGACGTCTTGGTATTTGTCAACCTGTGTATTATAATTATTCCATTAATATATCAGATAAGAATGTAGTAGTATTTTTGAATGTGAATAGATCTGTCAAAATGTATTTATGACAGATCCATTCACAAATCTAGTCCTAAATCTAATAATTAAAATTTCTGACTACTTCCAACTTCCACAAACTTTCTTCCTGCTTGTACCGCTTTACTATGGTGCATTTGAAAGTCAACTAAAGCATCGATCTGCGAACTGTTGAGTTGAAAAGCCTCACTAATCCAGCTCCAATGTTTGCAATCAGCCAGTATTGAGATTTCCCACACCCCCACGCGGCTCCTGAAGCGGCCTGGAGTGACTTGGCCCAGTTCATATGGCACCAGAATGATTCCTATGATCAAACCAGCCCAGAAACCTCGCCACTGCAGAACGTGGCCTGGACTTACTCGGGTCAAAGTAATGAAAAGGCGTGAGTTGGCGTGTTTAAAGGGACTCACGGAGCTGGAAGTCCCGGCAGTAGTCATGTAGCAGCTGTCATAGTGAGAGAGGCATAGACACACACACACACACACACACACACACACACACACACACACACACACACACACACACACACACACACACACACACACACACACACACACACACACACACACACACACACACAGACACAGACACTTGCTCACAGATGGGGAAACACCAGGGATATGGCGCCCTCTGCAGGCCGTGGGAGACATTGCAATGTGTTACTGCATCTCAACCGTGTATAAAGCAGATATATGTATAAAAAGTAAAAAGTTCCTTAATTAATACGTACCACTGTTTGCCTTGTTGGGCGAAGGGAAACTAATTTGTTTTGAGAGGAAGGAAGTTACATGGATTATCATTGTTTTTTTCTCATGCGGAAAAAACATATACATTTAGGAATTAGGCAAGTTAAGTTTATTTGTATAGCACAATTCATACACAAGGCAACTCAAAGTGCTGAACAAAACAAAATATTAAACAAAATCATAAATAATCACAGAACATTAATAAGAAAGATAAAAATATAAATTCCCTCAGTTGTATGCACAGCTAAACAGAACTGTTTTAACCTGGTTTTAAACATTGTCAGAGAAGAGGCCTGTCTCACACTTTCAGGAAGATTGTTCCAGATTTTAGCAGCATGAATCTGAAAAGCAGCCTCCCCATGTTTAGTCCTGACTCTGGGCACTAACAGGAGTCCAGTCCCTGTGCTCCTCAGAGTCCCAGCAGGAGTCCAGTCCCTGTACTCGTCAGAGTCCGGGCTGGTTCATATGGGTCGTACTTCCTGGTTCTAGTCAGGACTCGAGCTGCTGCATTTTGAATGTACTGCAGCTGAATTAAGTTATTGCTAAAACTGTTACCTATCTATACAGGCTCAAACATGACAAATGGCGCGTAGAAGCAGAGTGTATAGCTGTGATACAACACTGAACTTAGAAGCACAGCTAACCCAAACCTGTTTTAATATATATTCGTGTGACATTGGACAATAATTTATCCGCAGCTTTGAGGATCACACTTGTCGGTTTTGTGAGGTTTTGAAAGTGGGTTTAAAATTATAAGGAAAAAGTAAAGAATTGTTTCTTTATAGATTGCCTTTTTAACAGACCAAAGTCATTCAAAGTGAATGTTCAGAATCTTTTATACATAACTCACTTAATTTCATGAGTTGTTTTTGTACTGAAATAATGAGAAAACGTGCTTGTCCGTGCTGTGAGGGGGATTGCCTCTCCACAAACTTGGCTCATTCTGGTCCTGAAAGAGGGCCTGTATCCTTGGTGTGCACGGAAATGTAGTTCTTTTGCTATTTGCTTTCAGAGTATGGCATGTAACTATCTGTGTGGAATGATAATTTCTTCCTCCGGCTCCTTTAACGTTCACATCTGTGACTGCAAAGGTACATATCTACACGTTTTGTCCACATCAAATGGTTAAGCACATCAATATAGCTCCGAGCTTTTGTTGATGAGCTCCATAGCTGCATCCACCTCGCTGTCTGTTACGCCGAGAATTAGCTCCTGACTTTGATGCCTGCTCCAAAGGCATGATGGGTAGTGTTTAGGCCCAGAGCAGTGAGAGTGAGATCGACCAGGACTGATATATTTCACCTCAACACCAAGGGCTTGTCAATGCTGATAAATCCTTCTATTAAACAAAAATACCAAATCTGACGAAAGCATTTGGAGCCAGCGACCACCTGAGGGAGTGACACCGCTTCCTGCTCGGTTCTGTGTGGCCCGAAGCCGGTGTTAGCACGATTATAAAACATTATTGAAAGTGTACACAGGCGAGGGAAAGGCAGTGTGTTTGTCTGAAGAGATTCATGGTTTTGCTGAGGGCTTCAAAGTCCATTATTTCAAATGTGTCTCGACCGGTGGTTATTAAAGAGAGCGTTTGGTGGAACACAGGGATGACACAAAAGTATTGTTATCTGGTATAATAATAATTATTTATTATACTTGTAATATATAATTATAAAAGTACCGCATCATTTTTTTGTAGCACTTTTTGAACACTCAAAGACGCTTCACAGATCAGTCCGCACACAGTGGTGATAAACCACTACTGGCAGAAGGAAGGCCACCAGTATGTGCCATCGGCCCCACCACCGACTCACACACACTGCACACACGTTCTAATGTGGCTGAAGTGTCTTGTCTAAGGACACAACAACAGTTGCAACAGTGGCACTTTATGTCCACAGCCGCCCCACTGTGGCACTTAGTGTTCCCACAGGTCTCCCATACCAGTACTAACCAGGCCCTGTCCTGCTTAGTGTCAGAGGTCTGACGGGATCAGACGGGAAACAGGTAAATCCACATTATGATATTATCCTTGACAGCCACCATCTCCTCTGCATTTGACCCGTGATGCTTGTGAAGAAGATGTGCCAAGTCTGGGATCGTGTCATAAATTCCGACAGCAGACATGTTTTATTGTCGATGGTAGAGACAGCACAAACAAAGCACACGATCACAGATACAACAGAATGCAAGTGTATTATACAGAGCAGAGGCATGGAGACCTCCAATCAGCAGCTTCCACAGTGCCATGTAGCTTGGCCTTCAGATAGACAAAACAAGGGAAAAGTACAGGCTTCTGCACATTGATAGAATGATGAGTTTAACTTTAACAAAAGTTGCTTAAAAGTGTTATGAAATCTCATACTTGGTTTGATCAGGACTAGAGCTACTACACATGTCTTTACTGGTAACCAGCGGAAACCAACACAGAGAAGGGGAGAACATGCAAACTCCACACAGAAAGGGGACTGTTCTGACCAGGATTTTAACCCGGTTTAGTTTAGTTTATTGAGATCCCCATTAGCCTCCGTCAGGACAATTCATGTTTTGCAGTACTGGACTCCCTTGACAAAGAGATTTTTTAATCTCAATGACACTTTTCTGGTTAAACAAAGGTTAAATAAATACAAAGGTAACCAGCAACAATTTGGATGAAAATAATTAAAGCTGGGATTTCTAACTTTTAACTAGTTTTCATTTGCATGTATATTTGGCCTCTGTCACTACTTTAGCATTTTCAGACAGAAAAGTGAAAAAGAGAGCACCACCCTCACTCAGCTCTAACTTTAAACATTTTACTTGTAAGATTCTTTCTTTTGGATAGACAACAGATGAGTATTAATGATAAAACAGTCCAGCTTTGAGATAAGAATTGTTTTGAAATTTGACTTTGTTCTGAAGACTGTACAATTGTCCTTCAGTTTCAAATGCTTTGCTTATATAATAAAGTCTTACAAAAACTGGGATTTGGTGCCCTGCATGGCCCACGTTTGTCTCTGCGGTCCAATGCATGACCACACCGTCTCGATTTAGCCCATGGGCCAGACAGGAACTTCATGGGTGGTCATTGTCTAATCATATCCTACACAGCTATAGGCATATGCACAATTTACAATCAAAATACGCAACCTTAACATGTAACGTCTGTTCAAGTGTCAAAAGAAAAACAGCAGAAATGTTGACAATAAGCATCAAAACTATAGAATTACACAAACAACACTAATATGTGGATAATATCTGAGAATATAGTCTGAAAAAGAGCCGTGGGTGGTACAACATTGGGGCCATTTGAAACCACACAAGTCTCTGGAACCAGCTGAGGGCTATTTCCAGTGTGTGACGAGCTCGACACAAGCTCCAAGAGGAGAGAGTGAAGAATGTTTACCACTTCAGACTTCACTTAGGCTGACTCTTCAACCCAAAACACAAGAAAAATCCACCTCCAAGAGAACAACAACACTTTGCCCAGCCCGCCAACTTTCATTTGTTGAATTGTACGAGTCAGGGCAAAAAGAGAAATGCCAAATGATCTGGGCCTCTGGAAAAAGATGTGGACAAGACATTTTTGATGCAGAATGATATATACGCAATACACACTTTCTATAGAGATTTTACCCATTTAAAATAACAGATTTTAAATTCAAGGTTTTGCAATAATGGGTGATGTTGTTACCCCATTAATAGACAAAAATAGACAATCTCTTTTTAAATTGCCAGCTTGAATTCAATGTTGTCTATGTCTGCCCATGTTATTCCCCACAGACTTATCAACACGTTCGAAGAGACTTGTGAGTGGATTATTAAAGAGCTCCAAAACACATTTTCACCTTATTGTGTGGCGCTAACAAAACTAATTGAGTACGAGTCGAAGCTTGACCAGTTCATATCATGATCAGGGGTCTGTGTGAACAAATCCCATGCATACAGACAAAACACTTCAGCCATTTGATTTGATTCCTACATGTAATGCTACTACCCAACATAGCTCCTACATGAACAATTAGACAGGTATACTCATTTGAAATCAAAACTTGAGTATCATAAGCTCTATAATAAAGTAAATGCCCATCATCTATGTGTATATTGGGCAGGAAAAGACTTAGCCATTACCCAAGCAGTGAAAACTTGAAACACTGGACATGCCTATCTGCAGTCAGAAGTGGAGCACATTATGTAATAGACAGAAAAAAAGTGCCATAATTCACTTTTTAGGGGGGGATTACTCCAAAAGACAGTGATAAAGTTTGTTGAAACACTGCTGTTGTGACATGCGCAGTCTGCTTTTTACGCACGGATGTGGTTCCTACCAGATCTGCACTTGATGATCTCTCCAAACTCGTCTTCCACTGGCTCGTCACAGAAATCCTCAGGGCGCACACCCTCTGCCATGACTCCAGGTCCAACAAAACAGTTAACAAATTAAATTAATTAAAACGGAAGAATTTAACAAAACAATATTAACTCCACCGGGGGATAGAGGGACAAATCCGAGAGCGAGGCGAAGATGTGGAGTGACAGTGGACTATACTGTGAGCGCGCCTGTCACGGGCTTGGATAGACTGAGAGAAGCAGGTGTGCGCGCATAAAGGAGGGGAAGGAGCGGGGCTGGTGGGTTGTGTCGCCTCCCGGAGCATTCCCACCTCGAAATAGTCAACGAGGAGGTGAAGGCCCCAGTGGCGCTCTGAGGACGCCGTGCGTAAAATTCAACACCTTGGCTTAAGTTATATTATTCCAGAGACGTGGATGGAGCTAAAATCTGCAGATACATTTATCTCAGTGTTGCTTCTTCGTGTGGTCAATAATAATAATAACACGTTAAGACATGAATAGTTTACATGCAAAACCAGGTAAGTGCCATTGGAAACGTACAATTTGGTCTTTACCAAGTAGTTTTATGAAAAGCCAGATCTATTTTTGTATCACACAAATAAAGTTTCACCCCTTCTTGCGCAAATCCTCTCAAAATATCTTCAAACTGGAGATATCTTTTTTTGCATATATGAACCCTTCTAAACTCGATTTGAAGTGAAGGTTGTTGTTAAGTAGTTGTATGTGGGGAGAATTGTGAATGGGAGAAACGCGAGAGAGCGGTTATAAATAGAAAGTAGTGATGGGCAGGATTCTGGTTCCATCAAACTTTACACGGGCCGCTGTTAAGTCACTGAGGCGCTTCCAAAAACAGAAAGTGATCCGTGCATCCGGGGCGGCTGTCTGGAGTCTGGACAAGGACACTGTCAACGGCCATAAGGAGGAGACGTATGCGTGTTGACGGACCAGGTGGAAGGATGTGTATAAGTCAAAGTACGCGTACCACAAAAAAAAAAAAAAAATGTTATCTAATTTCCCATTGAGATTAAGAACCTCTTTTTCAAGGGAGTCCTGGACAAAAAATACATACAATTACAGATAATAAAATAGTTAAATACAATTTCATAAAATTACTGATTATAAAAACAGTTACATTTCAATGAGGATGTCTCAAGTCTCTCAAACTGGATCTGAAACAGACTGGTTGCCTCGCTTCTGTCAGTGTGCCCCAGGGCAGCTGTGGCTATAGTCGTAGTTTATCACCACCGTGTATGGAGTGAATGAATAATCACGTGAGAAGCGTTTTTGAGTGTCCAAAAGACCAATGCATGATTATCTATGTCCGTGTTTTTTTTTGTGTGTATATGTGGGTACTGCTACTACAATGACACATTTGTATAGTATTTGTATAGTATATGTATATATCTGGGTTATGGATGATTAGCTCCTCATCTCTCTCAGATACTATTCTGTATGCTGAATAAATTGTGAATTGGTTTTGTTGGTCTTTCTGAGTAAAAATACTAGACAGTCACATTTGTGGACAAAGCCAGATCAGGACTGGTCATGGCCACACGGGGGCAGTGTTCTCCCACACGTCTCTCATCCAGGAGCTCAGCAGCGAACTCAGTCTGTGAATATTGTCAAATGTTTCTCCCTCGAGGATGATTGAACAACAAAGTCTGCGGCTGATTGTAAATAACAGCACGATAAATAAAAGATAAGTCTTAATCATTGTGGGATAGAGCCTGAGTCTGTGTTAGAGGAGGGGGGAGAGATACACAAACATGAGCCAGTGAGGAATGCATGGATGTCAGATTGTTTCTTCTACAACGCGCCTCTTGCTTCTGTCAAACTTTATAGGGCGGAGCAACGGGGGGGAGCGGTGGGGCATAATCTCTGAGTCCCCCCCACACACACATATAGACATACACACACATACACAGACACACACAGAGCCAGAGAGAGACACTAAGACACAAATATACACGTTTTACACACACTCAAGCAGAGAGACAGAACACACACAGAAAGAGAGACACACACATAGCCGTAACGATAACACAAATCTAACCAAACCTCGGTCTATCTATCTATCTTTACTATTTTAATTTCTTCTTTTAGTTTCATAACAATCAACCCCAACCTTTTATTCTTACACTTTAAGAATTTTAAAGACTTAATTGCCAATGTGTATTTTCATGTTGTAATGATAATTGAGAGAATATGAGACTGAATTACTAAAAATGACACCGTATAAGTCAGAGGTGTCCAAACATATTAGTAAGAGGGCCACTTTAGGTCACCAGACTAGTCCCGGGCCCGACATTACGGACTAAAAAACTGTCTTGTCTGGCATCGGGCTGTTCTGAGCTTTGAAATGATCTGTAACATAGCTGAAGTTGGCTGAATGACACATGTTTACCATCTCACCAGCTACATCAGAACCATTAATGGACGTGACACCATCAAAAACGATTGAAATCCAGACGCACTGGGCTTTAGAGCGAGATACATGTCGATATTGGCTGAGCTGAAGTTGGACGGATGACACAGTTAGCAAGGTAGAGGGCCGCAAAAAATGACTCTGAGGACCGCAATTGGCTCCCGGGCCTGAGTTTGGACAGGCCTGCTATAAGTCAAATACTACACCATTTCACTTTGGTTAATAATTGTGAGACTCCAGCGCATTTTGAAGTATTTTTTGATCGCCCGTGTATGAGGCTGGATTTTTTTCTTGGTAAAACATTTCCGGGGGGGGGGGTTTCATTGTAACACAGACACTAGGGGGCCTCCAGACGGGGCCCTTACAGCGGTTGATGAGGCTGTTTCTCCCCATGATCCTGACGTCTCCCCCGCAGTGAAGTCTGTCCGTCATCAGCTGGAGATGAGGAGGAAGCCACGGACAGAGAGAGAGAGAGAGAGAGAGAGAGAGAGAGAGAGAGAGAGAGAGAGAGAGAGAGAGAGAGAGAGAGAGAGAGAGAGAGAGAGAGAGCTGTGTGGATAGACAGAATACATGTTTTGTAATGTCTCGTTTTCTTTGTGTGTGTCCCTGTCTCTCTCTCTCTCTCTCTGTGTGTGTCCCTGTCTCTCTCTCTCTCTGTGTGTGTGTCCCTGTCTCTCTCGGTCTCTCTCTCTCTGTGTGTCTCGGTCTCTCTCTGTGTGTGTGTCCCTGTCTCTCTCGGTCTCTCTCTCTCTGTGTGTCTCGGTCTCTCTCTGTGTGTGTGTCCCTGTCTCTCTCGGTCTCTCTCTCTCTCTGTGTGTCTCGGTCTCTCTCTCGGTCTCTCTCTCGGTCTCTCTCTCTCTCTCTCTCTCTCTCTCTCTCTCTCTCTCTCTCTCTCTCTCTCTCTCTCTCTCTCTCTCTGTCTGGTCCTCTTTCAGGACCAGAATGAGCCAAGTTTGTGGAGAGGCAATCCCCCTCACAGCACGGACAAGCACGTTTTCTCATTATTTCAGTACAAAAACAACTCATGAAATTAAGTGAGTTATGTATAAAAGATTCTGAACATTCACTTTGAATGACTTTGGTCTGTTAAAAAGGCAATCTATAAAGAAACAATTCTTTACTTTTTCCTTATAATTTTAAACCCACTTTCAAAACCTCACAAAACCGACAAGTGTGATCCTCAAAGCTGCGGATAAATTATTGTCCAATGTCACACGAATATATTAAAACAGGTTTGGGTTAGCTGTGCTTCTAAGTTCAGTGTTGTATCACAGCTATACACTCTGCTTCTACGCGCCATTTGTCATGTTTGAGCCTGTATAGATAGGTAACAGTTTTAGCAATAACTTAATTCAGCTGCAGTACATTCAAAATGCAGCAGCTCGAGTCCTGACTAGAACCAGGAAGTACGACCCATATGAACCAGCCCGGACTCTGACGAGTACAGGGACTGGACTCCTGCTGGGACTCTGAGGAGCACAGGGACTGGACTCTTGCTGGGACTCTGAGGAGCACAGGGACTGGACTCTTGCTGGGACTCTGAGGAGCACAGGGACTGGACTCCTGCAGGAGCTCTGAGGAGCACAGGGACTGGACTCTTGCTGGGACTCTGAGGAGCACAGGGACTGGACTCCTGCTGGGACTCTGAGGAGCACAGGGACTGGACTCCTGCTGGGACTCTGAGGAGCACAGGGACTGGACTCTTGCTGGGACTCTGAGGAGCACAGGGACTGGACTCCTGTTAGTGCCCAGAGTCAGGACTAAACATGGGGAGGCTGCTTTTCAGATTCATGCTGCTAAAATCTGGAACAATCTTCCTGAAAGTGTGAGACAGGCCTCTTCTCTGACAATGTTTAAAACCAGGTTAAAACAGTTCTGTTTAGCTGTGCATACAACTGAGGGAATTTATATTTTTATCTTTCTTATTAATGTTCTGTGATTATTTATGATTTTGTTTAATATTTTGTTTTGTTCAGCACTTTGAGTTTCCTTGTGTATGAATTGTGCTATACAAATAAACTTAACTTGCCTAATTCCTAAATGTATATGTTTTTTCCGCATGAGAAAAAAACAATGATAATCCATGTAACTTCCTTCCTCTCAAAACAAATTAGTTTCCCTTCGCCCAACAAGGCAAACAGTGGTACGTATTAATTAAGGAACTTTTTACTTTTTATACATATATCTGCTTTATACACGGTTGAGATGCAGTAACACATTGCAATGTCTCCCACGGCCTGCAGAGGGCGCCATATCCCTGGTGTTTCCCCATCTGTGAGCAAGTGTCTGTGTCTGTGTGTGTGTGTGTGTGTGTGTGTTTGTTTTCTGGTTTACAAGGCCGATTTTCAAGACTTTTCTCCGAGTAAGGAGGACCCTCCGGTTTAGGAGGACATTTTGCTGTCCTCATAAAAATTACATTCTAAATCGTTTTCTATGCATTTTTTAATGCCTAAAAAGTGGTTTTCTCAAAAGTCTTTTTAAACCAGAAACCTGAGAAAAGTAGTAAATCTGTGTGTCCGCCACTGCCCCTAGTGGTCGTTTTCTCCCGCGCGGGAAATGATGGAATATACACACAAACGCGGGAAATTATACACATTGGCGGGAGCGACACACAAAGTCATTACTGCGCATGCTCCGTGTGGGGAAGTGGAGGAGAGCGTCTTTCGCCAGTCAAGGCTGCTTCAACACTTTTCTTCACCCATCCACCCTCAAAGGAGACGGGACCACGAGGAGGGACACGGGACGCACCCGCACACAGGTATGAGAGAGTTTTCACTGGTCAACAGATGTAGTTTAGCACAAAGGAGCCGCTGGTAGAAGAGCATAACGTAGCTGCGGGGGTCGGCAGCCTAGTTAAGCTGCGGGCTACGTAGCCATTTGCACGATTTATTAATTCTGTCACGTTTAGGTTCGGCAAATCTGCAGTAAATATACTGTCGACAGAGCAAACGGGACCGTAGTGACATACCCACTACAGGAAGATGAACATTAGCTAGCTATTTGCGGAGCTAAGTGGCTAACACACATGTGTGCTGCAGCTGCTTGATAATATAGTCAAAGTTACAATATAGATGCATTTTGCGTGCTGAGGCCATACTTGGAACAAATATATTAGGTAGTTTCCTAATGGAGAGGTGAGTAATAAAATCAGTCTGTGATAATTAGTAGAATATTTTATAGGAGCAGGCTACTTGATAAAATGATAATACTAAATGATAAGATTATTAGAAATAAGACATCTGCTGTATGTATTATGATTTTATGTTCAAGCAAAATTCAAGCATTGTCTATATAGAATTTTCCTTTTAATACGCAGCCCTTCTGCGTTGTGAGTGACTTGACACAATTAAAATACTATTGCAGTAAGTTCGTATGTATTTGAGAGCTGAATGGATGTAGAACAAGTCTTGGACCAGAATGTACATGTTTAATCTGTACACACATTGAATATCTGTTTGTTTCATAACAATAATATAACTGTATTCTTAATAAAAGTAAAATATTAGATATATCGCTTTCCTTTCAAGCTCTATAGACATTGGGATGTCCCCTAGCAATGGACTACTTTATATAACTATAGTTAGCTGTTATTCCAGTGTCACATTTACAGATGTTTAATATTTTTAGAATATGAGCAGAATATATTATAGTTTATGGGTAAGGTGCAGTCCATTATAGTCTTCTATTGGAATCAGAACATTCATGGAGCGATGATTTAGAACTCCAAAAACCCTAACAACGGTCCTTGAAACCATGGGTGTGGACCCATGGTTTCTCCCAAAAGGCATCAGAGGGAAACATGAGTACATAGCCATGTAGGTGAAATGCACTGTTTCACTGTTGATGTTGATGAACTGAACTTCACATTAAAAAAGTTAATGTCATGATTACTTGAAATAGTTTTGATTTATGGTTTCTGAAAAACCATGAGATGAAAAGTAATGTTATTTTTAAAATGTTTGTTCTTAATTTCTCTTAAAGTCATGCCACAGAGAACTACTCTCCTTCAGGATGCCACAAAGCATATCCTTGAAGGAAGAGACAAGACTGCTATGTTAGAAGTAAAACACATTAATCCAGTCAAAGGTAAGTCACTGACACTAATATAATCACTGGTTCAGTTGTATCAATGGTTTGCTGCCCTTGTGTCTTTAATAAGCCTGTGTCTTCAGGTCGTGGTATTTTCTCTACCACTGTTTTCAGTCAAGGAGACTTTGTTGTGGAGTATAGGGGGGTACTTGTTGATTCAGCTGAACAGAGACGTAAACAGAACCAGAGTGAATGTTCAGTCTTCATGTTCGACTTCACATGGAAGCGGAGGATTTGGAGGTAGGTTCAGTGTGACTGTTTTCGTCTCTGTGGTGAGTGTAGCTGCCTAGTGTAGCTGCCTAGCCTAAAGTACATTTTGAACATGTGTCTCTATAAATGTGTTTAGTGCATGATGTTTGTATTTTTAATGTGCAGTATTGATGGCGGAGAGGAAGACGGATCTTTTGGACGATTAGTCAATGACGAGCATAAGTTGCCCAACTGCCGAATGAAGTTGATTGAGGTGAAAGGCAAACCACATCTTTGCCTTTTTGCCCTGAAGGAGATCAAAGCAGGAACTGAAATAAATTACGACTATGGTGGGACATCATGGCCCTGGCGTGAAGAGGTGGGTCATTTAGTGTTTTTTTTCCCCCTATAAATTGATGCCCAGGTTTACAATAATTATCTATATTTTTGACTTGATAACAATGATATTCTAGTTTTCTAATTTCACTATTTTGCAGATTCCCCTTACTGTTACAACCAGTGCTGCACAAGGGTCTAGTCAAGACTGTATCCAAGACAAAATTCAGCCATTGGCAGTCCTTATTGATGGTCAGAGGACTTTTTGTTGTTTTTTGGCAATAGTGTACTGGAGATGACTGAGAGATGTTGATACCACATATAGCCTTGTTTATTATTTTTTCTTTTTTTTTTTACAGAGACCAGAGAGAGACCAGACGTATCTGACTGCAATAGGACATCAGGCAGTCCTGCTTGTGAGGTTAGGTTAATTATGGTTGTTTGTCAAAGCAATGATTAACAGTTTTAAAATAGCTGAGGAAAGAAGCAGGTCAAATCATCATCACATACCCCTGGTATAGTTTTATTCAAATGAGGGGTGACAAAAATGCCTCGAATTACTAAAAAAAATCATTAATCCTCAAATTATTTGACTGCCTAACCTTTATTACTAATGTACAAAATGAAGCCAAATGAAGCCAGTACTGACTAAGACTTGAACTTAGATTTCAGACAGGACTCTAACCTTCTGTCACAAGCAAACAGGACTCTAACCTGTTCTACAACCAGGGACTCGAACCCCAGACTAAGACTTTAACTTAGATTTCAGACAGGACTCGAACCTGTGTCACAACTGAAGACTCAAACTTCAGCCTAAGACTCTAATTTAGGATTTCCAACAGCCTGGATTAGAATGAGCAGCTCCGTCACCAGCCTGGCACTCCCACATGCATTCACACTGCATCACAAGCACCCCTCGGATCCAACTAGAAGTATAGAAAATCAAAATATTTTTAACAATTTACCGTTTGTTCTCTGAGGTGAGTGTCAAAATTCCGAGAGGTGACGGCCGAAACCCAGCATGTCCGGTTAGTCCGCCCGTCCAGAGTGTGGGAAAGCGACGAGATTGATTTAAATCCCGGGTGATCAGCCCCCAAGCCGGACCTGTGTGTTCCAACGATCAGCCTTCAGGAAACCACTTCTGACACCAAATTGTAGTGGAAATTTAAATACTTCAATGAATGAATCCGAGAGAAAACAGCTTGTCTTTGTGCAATTTATTTAAAAGGTGATGAGAATAACAAATACAATAAAACTCTGCAGAGTCAGACAGAAGCGACGCACTCTGATAGTCTGCGTCGTCTCTCTCTGGTCTGCTCACATCTAACATTCGATAATATAGTCCTGCGAAAAGCTAGAACAAAGAACAATGGGTTGAGTTATGCAGGAAGAGGAGATAAAAGATAGGGAGGGGAAAAGAATAACATTTAACATTATAACGAGCCAGAGGATGATACCGTCGCCTCTGCGAAGGTCATGTGAAAGTGTCCTTTGTGCAGGACAAGCGGCCTTTGTCTGTAAATGTATCAGTGAATTTTAGTACAATATATTCTAATATATGAAACTCGCCACAACACAACACAGATTAGAGAATAAATCGTTCAAAAACAGGAAATGCAGCAATCGAAAACATATAAAGCCTTTGGTCCATAAGGGGCGGAGTGTTAATAGATTTCTATAAAAGTCCTTAAATGTCCTGGATCTTCACTGTCCTTAGACCCTCCTGCATAAGCAAAGGGAATAAAAACTGTTTTGAAAAAAGCAAGAACCTTGGGGAGGACCACATTGAGCAATACTGAGCAATAATATCGCCTTAAATTAAAGTTACATAGTTCAGCTTTAATAATTTTTCCTCTTTTTTTTCTCAGGTGAACCCAAAGGACCTGGACCTGAAGTACGCCTACATCCAAGTCACGCACGTCACTCCGCACCTGGACGACAAGGAGCTGGAGGACCGGAAAACCGACTTCGAGAAAAGCCACAACATCCGAAGATTTGTTTTTGAGACGCCGTTCACCGTGTCGGGGAAGAAGCAGGGAGGAGTGGACGAGCAGTGCAAACGACGGACCGTTCTCACCAGTGAGTCCACAGAATAATTGTCACGTTCTGAAAAGGATGAAGGACCCAAAATGCAGGATTACCAAAATATAAGATTTAATAAACAAAACAAAATCCAGGATACAGAACTAAAACCTCAAACCAGGATAAAACAGGGACAAAATCATAATGGACCAACAACAAGGGAAGAGGAGCACAGGGTTTGGATACACACAGGGACACACAGTTTAAACAGATTAGGGCGGCACAGGCAATTAACAGAGCAGACATGAAAACATAGACACAGACAAGGAAGAACCAATATATCAAAATAAAACATGGAAAAGTTATCAAAAAGTCCACACCATAACAATATTATCTTAGATCAGGCCTGTCAAACTCTGGTCCCTGGGCCAAGTTCAGCCTGTTCAGTGTAACGGACGTGACGGTTTCTGTCCATTTTTCTCTAAAAATTAAACTTGAGAAAAAGAAATCTGGTCTGTTTTCACATTTAATTGGTTTATTATATGAAAGTACCACTTTGTTTCTACTCTGTGTAAAATAATAATACGTAAAAAACGTTCACAAAGCTCATTCCGTCAAATCATCGTCTGTTACATAAAACAGACGATGGTCAGCTACTACTGTAGCCAGTTCACTGGGAACTTAGTCTTAGTTTTTGTGGACCGTGCCCAGTGGAGCTTGGTTCGGTCTGTAGACGTGTGTCTTTTGATGACTGCGTCTCCACTTCTTCTGAGGATAGTGTGGGGCGTGGTCCTCCTGAGGGTCCTGGATCTGCTGCTTGGAGGGGTACTTCAGTTCATAATGAAGACGTAGGTTCTCGTCCAGGGCCTTTCGCAGTGACCTTACTACCACTGCCTTTGCCTCCTTACATTTGTTCAGCTCCTCCTCCATTTCTGCAATAACAAAGTTTTTCCTCCAGCTCATAATTACCTTTCCTCAGATGCATCTCCTGGTCCTGCATCTTGGTCTTCAACTCATCAATATAATGTCCAGAATCTAGAAGACGAGAGTTCATTACTTCTTATGTGTTCATGTTTTCTTCTTCAACTTTTGAGAGATGTGTGTCCATACCGTTCATGATGGAGTCCTTCTGTCGGCAGTCCTCTTCAGCACGCCTCAGTGTCTGTTTTACAGACTGTAGTTCTGTGAACAAGTCCTGTTTCTCCTTATTCAGAGTCACTTTTAGGGACTCCAGTGCTGTGGACATGTCCTGTTTCTCCTTCTTCAGAATTGTAGAGAAGTTGACGACCTCCTCGTTCCTTTCCACATACTTTGCACAGGCCTCTTTCAGCTCCTGCACCTTGTCCTTTGCCGACTGCAGCTCTGCAGTGGTTTGTTGCAGAGAGAGTTGGAGGCTGGTTTTCTCCTGGAGGGTGGTGTCGAGTTGGTGCTGGGTATGTTCAGCATCTAGAAGACAAGATTTCATTACTTCTTATGTGTTCATGTTTTCCTCTTCAACTTTTGAGAGATCTGTGTCCATACCCTTCATGATGGAGACCTTCTGTTGCCTGTCCTCTTCAGCACGCTTCTCCAAAGTCCTCAGAGTCTGCTGTACCGACTGCAGTTCAGTGGACAAGGCTTGGTTCTTCTCCTTCAGGATTGTGGAGAAGTTGGTGACCTCTTCGTTAATTTCCTCAGACCTGGCATAAGCCTCTTTCAGGTCCTGCAGCTCTGCAGTGGTTTGTTGCACAGAGAGTTGGAGGCTGGTTTTCTCCTGGAGGGTGGCGTCGAGTTGGTGCTGGATCGAAGTGGTGGAATTCATAAAGTCCTTCTCCAGAGCAGACTTCTCCGTTTGCAGTTGTGTCACCTGCTCCTCCAGTCTCTTTGTTTCCTCTTCTTGAGCCTTGACCAGGTCACTCTTCTCCTCCTTCAGTCTCTTGACCTCAGCCAACAAAGCCTGGTTTGATTCCTCTGCAATGTTCCGCTGCGACAAACACGATGACGTCGCCATGTTCTGTTGCCATGGGAGATTCCTTTTTAAGTTCAGGAAAAGTCTCATAGACAATATTGAAATGCACATTTTGAAACAAATGGATGTATTTCCCAGAATCTGCAATGTTCAGGAGAAGTGTTTTTATTTTTGGCGATACAAATTGAGGGCCATTTGCCAACTTCAAATCTCCAACGCAAAGTTAGAAAATGTATTACACAGTTTTTTGCTTTGCGTTAAAGGTGATCTTATATTAAAGTGTGTCGTCCAAAAACTAAACTAAAAATAAAATACATACATTATTGCATAAAGTGAAGCTGTTTCCCTGGATGTAAACATGTCACAGGACCATAGACACAGGACCATAGACACAGGACCATGGACACAGGACCATAGACACAGGACCATACACACAGGACCATAGACACAGGACCATAGACACAGGACCATAGACACAGGACCATAGACACAGGACCATAGACACAGGACCATGGACACAGGACCATAGACACAGGACCATAGACACAGGACCATAGACACACTACTCTACTCTCTCCACTCATTTGTAGCTCTTCCTCCCCCACACGAGTTAACATAGCCCACCCCAGCCCCCTGCTGTTTTCGGTCATTACCTACATTTGCAAATCAAAACATGCAAATACTAGCAACCAAAGTAGCAAGTTAGCTTCTCCTCTTCTAAACTGGGGGCCAAAAACGCTGGGACTTCTAGTGTTAAGTAGAAGATAAATTTGGCCAAAGATAAATGTTTTATAGTAAATTATCAGTCTTCACTTACATCTTCTCTTGATATTTGGTACAGAATATAATATCCAAACCAGTGACAAATAATTTTATGTTTTGTCTTTACAAAAAAGAAACAAAAACCACTTTTTCTACTTTTGGCCCCAACCAGCTCTTACTTTTTAAAATGTGTCCCCCGACCAAAATGTGTTATGTGTTCCTTAGAAATGTGTTCCTTAGAAAAGTAAAGTCCTCAGAGTAAACTACTGTTGTGATTTAGAGCCAAACACAAAAACATTGAAATGAATTGAATGTATTCTTAGCTTTTATCATCCAACCGTAATGAATACACACATTCTGAAATGCCTTCGCTGTGCGTTTTCAGCCACCCACTGCTTTCCGTACGTGAAGAAACGAATCGCTGTGATGTACCAGCACCAGACCGACCTAAGCCCCATCGAAGTGGCTATCGACGAGATGAGCGGGAAGGTGGCAGAACTGCGCCTGCTTTGCTCCGCTTCGGACGTCGACATGATTAAGCTGCAACTAAAACTACAGGGCAGCATCAGCGTTCAGGTAAGAAAACACCATTTTATTATTAGGTATGAAGAAGATGGCATAGTCTGGGATCGCGTCTTTCATTCAGACAGAAGACATGTTTTATTGTCGATGGTAGAGACAGCACGAACAACACGGACAGAGAATGCAAGTGTATTATACAGAGCGGAGGCATGGAGACCTCCAATCAGCAGCTTCCACGGTGTGCTTGTAGCTTGGCCTTCAGATAGACAAAACAAGGGAAAAGTACTGGCTTCTGCACATTGATAGAATGATGAGTTTAACTTTAACAAAAGTTGCTTCAAAGTGTTATGAAATCTCACATTCCCCCCTCTGGTCACACATTCACGTGTGACCATCAGGATCGATAAACAGCAACATAACATCATAACTCAATACTTCAAAACTCATACTTCACTCGGTACTTCAAAAACTCAGAAAACTCGTAAAACATGTTCAGATCTTTCATAAAACTTGTCAACAATCTTCAGTAAAATACCAAACTTCATCAGTCGATGGTGGATCCAGATATTGCTTTGAAAACAGTCTCTCCCACTTCTCCGTGTTGGTTTCTTCAGGCTGCATTTGTGTCGAGCCATGAATTCTTCTGTGACGTGTCTTTCAATCACACGTTTCAGCTTTAGTGTCCAGATTCAGCAATTCAATTCAGTCCAAATTATGTCCAAATTGTGTAATCCAATTGTTCCAAATGGTGTCCATGCAAAAGAGGACGATGGTATTGTCCATGTCTCAGCAGCTCACAGCCTGACTGGAATCAGGGGCTGTGCAGATTGTCCATGTGCTGATCCAGATGCATGGTTTCTCTTGAGGTTTCTCAGTTTTGGCTTAAAAAAAAAAACACTTTTTGTGTAAAAAAAAAGTAGTCTTCTGTTCTCTAGATGTTACAGACAAGGCCCGCATCCTTCCACCACCTGAAGAAGATGGCATAGTCTGGGATCGCATCTTTCATTCAGACAGAAGACATGTTTTATTGTCGATGGTAGAGACAGCACGAACAACACGGACAACACGGACAGGGAATGCAAGTGTATTATACAGAGCGGAGGCATGGAGACCTCCAATCAGCAGCTGCCACAGTGTGCTTGTAGCTTGGCCTTCAGATGAGACAAAACAAGGGAAAAGTACTGGCTTCTGCACATTGATAGAATGATGAGTTTAACTTTAACAAAAGTTGCTTCAAAGTGTTATGAAATCTCACTTGCACAACGCGTTTGGTACCGCAAGGCCCTTACGTGGCCTGCGCGCCAGCATCGACATTTTCTAACTACATAGGGTCGCGCAAGGAGCTCGCTGTGATTGGGTCCGTGTGTGTATTGGAAGGAAGCACGGAAGCGGCTGCTGGGACCATGGACGAGGAACTATGGAGCAGACTTGCTGTCACGCTTCGAGGAGGAAAACCAAAGGAAAAGAACGTTTTGGCTATGGCAGGGCCTGATTACGCGGAGACTGGGATAGAGGAGTCTGTCTGCATATTAACCATATAAACTTATAAACTGTGCAGTCGTTTCTTTTGCCACTGGTTCCTGTCTTTGTTTGGAATCGTGTGTATGCGTCTGTTCCATTCCTCCTGCACTTATAAATTGTTCATATAATTTACCACTTTTTGTATGCTGTTTGTGATGAATACAATTTAATAATAACTATAGTTTCCAACAAGACTGTGTCTTTATCACAAAATCACAGTTAAATGAGTTAAAGAAATAATGCAGTCCATAGACAATCACATTAAACCGTTTACGTAGAAACACATGTAATGATCTCAAACAGCTGTGTTTTTGTTCATTGTTTTTGTTCTGAAGAGGGAGAAACTTAGCAGCTGGTAAATGAGACCGCTTTGGTCTCTCAAGCAACTCCTGTGAGATCGCCATCTGATGGTTGGTTGTGCGATAACAACATTCTCTCAAAACTCTGCAAGGAGTATTATTTAAATTGGGCTTGCGGATGTCAGGGTCCACGCAACGGCTAACGTAAAGCTGCGCCGCACAATGTAGACCCTAGCTAGGCTTGAGAATTGGGGGGGGAACCTCTATCTCTATTTCCTTTTTCCTTTTATTTATTTATTATTTTTTTTACCTATGAGAAGGAATCATATTTTTTTTATACAAGGCTTATGTACTATATTGTTAAATTTAAAAAAACAATACAAAATGCAGACACATGTTTATTAGTCTAAGTGTCCACTGTACATTAGAATTACATGGGAGACAGTTCCATATCTGTCTATCCCTCTATCTACTGTGTCTATACAATACAATTTTTATTCTACAATACAATTTATTCTTGTATAGCCCTAAATCACAACAGAAGTCATCTCAGAGACTTAACAAAACCATTGAAATCATCAACACAGATCAGAGAATCAACAGTTAAAACACAAAAAGAATATAGACACATGTTGATAAATGTCATACATGTAGAATGTTAAAGTGTCCTGGTTCAGCACAGTCCTTCTAGTGCAGGCATGTCAAAGTCAAATACATCAGAGGGCCAAAAAAATAAATTTGCTGCGAGCCGAGGGCCGGACTGGTTCAATGTTTATTAACTCATTGCCTGCCAGCCTATTTCAGAACAGGTTCTCCCATTTTGCCAGCAGTTTCTGATGATTTTTATAGATTTTTCAAGAACCACAGAATATTGTGTACTATGACTATCTGAAATCTGAAACCAGATTCTGAAAGAATAGACTGTCTACTTTCATCAGCAAAAATAATTTTGTTTCTAGCTTGTAATCCCCAGTTGAGTAGAGGGAAGTTTTACTGAAATCATCAAAAAGCTGAGAAAAAAGAGGCACAACAAGTGCATCTAGCTGTTTTCAAACCATTCAGAGAGCGCTGCTGCCACCTGCTGGCTCGATTCAATATGCTCTCAAGCTTATCCCCAAACATATTAGATATAATAGACATCTGGGAACATGAAAATAGCGGAAAACGCAATTGACGTAATAGTGCGTCAATGGCAGGAAACGGGCCATGTAAAATTAATTCGCAGGCCGGATTTGGCCCGCGGGCCTTGACTTTGACACATGTGTTCTAGTTGGACACTAACTGCCCACAGACCCTCCTGCATCGGCAAGGAACAACTCATAAGAAAAACCCAGTGGGGAAAAAAAGACCCATAGTTTGAGAAAGGGATCCGCTCCACACAGACGGACGGGCTGTAGATCCAGGACCTAAGCTACAGAACGTGGACCAGTGGCCGCTGAACGTGGAGAGGTCCGGTACAGGACTGAAGAACTACCAGGCGGGTCGGGCAGGGCAGGGCAGGTATCTATCCATCTATCCATCTATCTATCATACAATCCTGTCTTTGAGTTGAACAAAACAAAGCAGCCAAACCTCTGTATATTGTGTATCCAGAGTATTGTCAGTATTGTGCTTCTCTCTGATTGGCCACATGTATCACGAGGCAGGTGTCCGTTAGAGTCATTGAGCTCCATGCAGTTGCTTTGTGTCATAGTCCAAGGCTTATTCCGTCGTCAATGGTTTGGGATTGATCACGATCGTTTCCTCCTGACGTCTCTTGAGAATGGATTGTTGTGGTGAGGTGTGGGGTCGATGCTCTGCTCGAAACGACAGGTCAGAGCAGCTTCGGAGATTCTCTAATGTATGGATTTGTGCCTGGATTGTCTACAGGACACATCCCCGCACCATGTGTAAACTACCCATGGTTACATCACACTGAACACAATTATTATGAAGTTATGATTATTATTCAATGTATTCTTTTTCGTTAATGTATTTAAAATATGTGCATGGGGTGGGAGTCTACAAGGTTTTACGCCTTTGCCACTCTCAGGTCTCTCTCAGGGCTATTTATCTGGTCTCTCTCTGGTCTCGCTCTGGTCTCTCTCTGGTCTCTCTCTGGTCTCTCTCTGGTCTCTCTCTGGTCTCTCTCTGGTCTCTCTCTAGTCTCTCTCTGGTCTCTCTCTGGTGTGCCTCTGCTCGCTCGCTCTCAGTGTCTATCTCTGATCTTTCTCTGGTCTCTCTCTAGTCATTCTCTCTCTCCCTCTCTAGTCTCTCTCTCTGGTCTCTCTCTGGTCTCTCTCTCTCTGGTTTCTCTCTCTCTCTGGTCTCTCTCTCTCTCTGGTCTCTCTCTCTCTCTGGTCTCTTCTCTGGTCTCTCTCTCTGGTATCTCTCAATGCTCTCTCTCTGGTCTCTCACTCTGGTCTCTCTCACTGCTCTCTCTCCGGTCTCTCTCTCTGGTCTCTCTCTGGTCTCTCTCTCTGGTATATCTCAATGCTCTCTCTCTCTGGTCTCTCTCACAGCTCTCTCACTCTGCTCTCTCTCTGGTCAGTTGTACCCATAATACTGATTCTGTACTGACACGGCTTATGCAATATTCACACGCAGATATTGCAACAGACATACAAACAGATCAAATAATAATCGATCCATAAAACAGGTCCAGGACCGTGGGACTGGCTGAAGAGTCCATTCTTCCATAAACATATTGCCCCGTACCATGTGACCAGTATTATTAAAAGAACATTCTGTATGTTCCTCAGTGTAACCATTTGTCTGTATAAAGTTTTTTAATTGCCGAAAATATGCTTGTCACTGCTTGTTTCCATGGAGATTCCTAAGCTATTTCCAGGCAAAATGAAGATATCTCCACAGATAATAAAATACACCTAACTTGCTATATATGCACACAAAAAAGGTATTTGTGTGTTGCTGCTCAATGCCAAGAATATAGAGCCAAATGTGTGTAATAAAGCCAATATCATAATACTAAACACATTTGACGAACTTTGACATCCTTAAAAGCCAGACCACAGCTATTCCCAGTTACTGTACTACCGGACAGGATCAAAATTCAAAACAAGTCGCATTCAAATACAGCTTGTGCAACTTAGCAGTGGGATAATTGCATCATCGATGGCTGCACTGTATCGTCTTACAGGGAAATTGCTTTTTAATTCTAGTTGCATTTCCTCTTTGATATCGCAGTCTTTCAGAATGGATCCATAGATATGAGAGAGAGAGAGAGAGTGTTGCTTTCTGGCGAGCTTTGTCTGTATGAGTCTCTTGGTTTGTGTAAGTGCCCTCTATAAGGAAGCGCATCTACTGTAAAATCTACTAAATCTGACTTAAGATTTCATTATGTAAGAGTGGACACAGTTTATAACTTAGATGCAACTACTGTAAGCTATTTGTGGCCCACTTGAGTTGTAAGGCCACATCTCCAGCAGCAGCACCAGTCCTTGTGTTTGAAGCGCAGGCTCAGAGACATCCAACACTCCTCCAGAGAAGCGTTGGTTGCCAGATGTTGCTATAGGTTAATGCTTTCACTGGAGGAACGATCGCAGGGAGCCGTTTGATAGTTGACCCCGCGACTCTCCCTTTTGAGCATACAGAGATAGAAGGTCAGACAGAAATGATTGACAGTGAGAAGCTAATGCAAACGAATCAGAGAATACGGCCTGCTACACGTGCACGACTTACAGTAAAGGTGGCGGAGGCTGAATGTGGAAGAATGCAGCAATACACAAGTTATATAGATGTTTCCATTTGGGATGCGTGAGAAATCAAATAGCCAAGGCATGTTTTGTGGTTGCAAAGACTACAATTATTTAAGCAAAAAAGCAATAAAGTTAGAAATTATCTTTTGTCTTGTTGAGCTCTCAAAATATATTGGGTAGCACAGGTCTAACTCTGAGAATGTTGTGAGAAAACATTTCAAAGATACTTAATTTCTTGACGCAAGAAAGTTTGAAAGTGACATTATAAACATAAAGGTTATATCAGAAATCGCATCGCAATGTTGGTCAGAAATATCGCAATTAGATTTTGCTAAAATCAGACAACCCTAGTTTCCACGGCAACCTCTTGCTCCTGATTGTCTCCGCCGGCTGGAGCTGGCAGAGACCAGCGAGTGAGAGAGAAGAGTGAAGTGGAAAGAAGAGGTTTGGACTGGAGCTCTGCCAGAGGTTCTGACAGCACCGGTGTAATGAACAGGACGGATGGTCCAGAGGAGGCCCGCGTCTCTGGGGGGATCACCTCCTAATGACGGGCCAGCGTGCAGCCATCGAGCCTTTATGAACTGACAAGGCAGAAGACACACACGCACATTCTACAGCTTTGTGGGCTGAGTGAGCGTCCCAGCGGACGCCTAACAGATACGCCACGCAGAGAAACCCTATTAGGCCGTAAACTGAACAGATAGCAGCCGTAGGCAACATGCAGTCACTAATGCATCTGTGGGAGAAGCTATTGGTTTGATGTGGGGAGCATTGGAACATTACTCATGACTATTGAGGAGACGAAAGAATAGGCAATATTTTACTGATGAGGCAGGCAGTGCAGCAGTACAGTAGTAGTAGAAGTACAATCAGTAGTAGTAGTCGCACTAGCAGGAGTACAAGTAGTGGAGGTAGTAGCAGCGCTAGGAGTAGCAGTAGTAGAGGTAGTAGCAGCGGTAGGAGTAGCAGTAGTGGAGGTAGTAGCAGCGGTAGGAGTAGCAGTAGTGGAGGTAGTAGCAGTGGTAGGAGTAGCAGTAGTGGAGGTAGTAGCAGCGGTAGGAGTAGCAGTAGTGGAGGTAGTAGCAGTGGTAGGAGTAGCAGTAGTGGAGATAGTAGCAGTGGTAGGAGTAGCAGTAGTGGAGGTAGTAGCAGTAGTGGAGGTAGTAGCAGCGGTAGGAGTAGCAGTAGTGGAGGTAGTAGCAGCGGTAGGAGTAGCAGTAGTGGAGGTAGTAGCAGCGGTAGGAGTAGCAGTAGTGGAGGTAGTAGCAGTGGTAGGAGTAGCAGTAGTGGAGGTAGTAGCAGCGGTAGGAGTAGCAGTAGTGGAGGTAGTAGCAGTGGTAGGAGTAGCAGTAGTGGAGATAGTAGCAGTGGTAGGAGTAGCAGTAGTGGAGGTAGTAGCAGTAGTGGAGGTAGTATCAGCGGTAGGAGTAGCAGTAGTGGAGGTAGTATCAGCGGTAGGAGTAGCAGTAGTGGAGGTAGTAGCAGCGGTAGGAGTAGCAGTAGTG